AAAAGCAAAAATGAACAAGTGGGACTATATCAAAGCTGAAAAGCTTCTGTACAGCAAAGGACACCACCAATAGAACAAAAAGGCATCCTACAGTATGGGAGAATATATTCATAAGTGACAGATCTGATAAAGGGTTGACATCCAAAATATATAAAGAGCTTATGTACCTCAACAAACAAAAAGTAAATAATCCAATTAAAAAATGGGCAGAGGAGCTGAACAGACAGTTCTCCAAAGAAGAAATTCAGATGGCCAACAGACACATGAAATCATGCTCCACATTGCTAGTCATCAGAGAAATGCAAATTAAAACCACAATGAGATACCACCTCACCCCAGTAAGGATCTCCACCATCCAAAAGTCAAAGAACAACAAATGTTGGCGAGGTTGTGGAGAAAGGGGAACCCTCTTACACTGCTGGTGGGAATGTAAATTAGTTCAACCATTGTAGAAAGCAGTATGGAGGTTCCTCGAAAAGCTCAAACTAGAAATACCATTTGACCCAAGAATTCCATTTCTAGGAATTTACCCTAAGAATGCGGCATCCAGTTTGAAAAGGACAGATGCACTCCTATGTTTATCACAGCACTATTTACAATAGCCAAGAAATGGAAGCAACCTAAGTGTCCATCAGTAGATGAATGGATAAAGAAGATGTGGTACATATACAGAATGGAATATTAGTCAACCATAAGAAGAAAACAAATCCTATCATTTGCAACAACATGGATGGAGCTAGAGGGTATTATGCTCAGTGAAATAAGCCAGACAGAGAAAGACAAGTATCAAAAGATTTCAGTCATATGTGGAGTATAAGAACAAAGAAAAAACTGAAGGAGCAAAACGGCAGCAGATTCACAAAACCCAAGAATGGACTAACAGTTACCAAAGGGAAAGGGACTGGGGAGGATGGATGGGAAAGGAGGAATAAGGGTGGGGGGGATTATGATTAGCATGTATAATGTGGGAGGGGGCACGGGGAGGGCTGTACAACACAGAGAAGATGAATAGTGATTCTACAGCATTTTACTACGCTGATGGACAGTGACTGCAATGGGGTATGTGGGGGAACTTGGTGATGGGGGGAGTGTAGTAACCATAATGTTCCTCGTGTAATTGTAGGTTAAAGATACAAAAAAAAATAGAAACAAAACCCATAATCCTATTAATTTTGGTAGTAATATAAACAAAATATTTTACTGTAAAAGTATAGTAAAGATGTACAAGTAACAAATCTTGAGAGAAGGAAACATTTTTCTTAGAAATCCTAGAATTTCCAATTGGACATTAAAACTGGAATTACCATTATCAACTTCATTTCCAAAACATTCATATTGTCATTAAAACACCTCTTCATCGGAATGAATTAAATGTTAAGGTCTAGCTGAATTCTAACTTGACAAGTTTTAGTATTGCTCTATAGTGAAAAAGATATCTAGTTGTGATGAAGAGTGTATTTTGTGGGGAATGAACAACTATATACAGCTTTCATGATCTGAAGAAGATGTTACATGAAGGGATTCCATGGTGACAGAATGACCTTGTATTATCATACCAACTGCACTATTCCAGTTTAGGCATACTCCTTCTGAGTGGCACTTACATTGTCTTGGGTTTCGGAGTAAAATTCTAAGCATTTTTGAACTCTGGTCATAGAATGTTTCCAGTAAGGCCAGTGTCCTCTGCCGATCCAAAAACCCTACCTAAACAGAAAGTTTGCAATTAGTTGTTGTAGGAGATTTCAGATTTTTATGTGGATGGAATATGGATTCTTGTAGCTTTTATCATCATCATGTAAATAAAAGCTGCAGAATCAAGGTCAGGAAAGCTAAATCACACCTTTAGGCTTATACTCTATTTCACCATTCTGTGACACGTCAAATATGTGACATGTCAAATGACACTTGAAATAATTAAATGCTTCCTACTTGTTCTTTTTTTGCATTGTTTTTATTCTGAGAAGAGTTTTAATTACTGAAAAATATAGAAAATGCTAAAACTAACACTGGTATTCCCTACACCCAGAAATGATGATTGCTAACATTTTGTGTATGTATTTTTAAAAATATGTAACTGATATCACAGTACATGTGTCCCTCTTAAAATTACTTTTATTTACTCAATATTTAGATCTGATTCATGTACATGAAGTAATATATTTTACTCCTTTTAACTGCAGTATGATATTCTATGATATGTAAAATATATAATTTTTAAAAACATCCCTTCACTTATGGGCATTTAGATTATTTCCAGCATTTTGATAGCAAAATAATGCTGCAGTGGATGACCTTAGATACATCTTCTTGCATACATGTGCAAACATTTCCCTGAGGAAAATAATCAGAAGTGTAATTAATGGACTTAGATATGTGCATTTTCAAATTTACTAGTTATTGCCAAATTGCTCCACAAAACATCCATACCAATTTATATTCTCACCATTACTGAATGAGGACATCATTTCTGTATCCATGCCAATACTTGATATTGTTAGAGTTTATAATTTTTTTCCAATCTGATGGACAAAAAAATATACCTAATGATTTTAATTTTCATTTCCCTAATATCAGTGAGATTACATATGTTTTCAAATGTTTATTGTGTATTTGGGTTTCCTTGTCTATGAAGCTTTTTCGTGTCATTTTCCTTTCTTCAGTTGGGAAGAGTTGTCCATTTCTTATTGATTTATAAATTTTCGATAATGGTCATTCTGTTACCTACATGGCAAATATCCTTTCCAAGTTTATCTCTTATTTAATTTAACCTTTGATGAGTTTAGCCGTATCAATGTTTTTAATTTTGAGGCAAATGTATCAACATTTTCTGTATGGTTTATGTTTATTAGGTGAATTCTTTAGTAAGTATTATCAATACAGAACTCAAAAGGTAAACTCTAAATTTGCCTCCAAAACTTTAAAAATTTTGTTTTCCACATTTGGTCTCTGATCAGATGGGACTTATTTTTCCTCATTAATGAGGCTGAAGTCTAATTTTATATTTTTTCCCAAAATGGAAAGCCAATTTTCCCAATATTGTTTATTGTTTTGTCCTTTCAGCTAATTTATATTGTTACCTATGTCATATACTTAATTCCCACATACTCATAGGTCTAATGCCAGGTCCAATATACTGTTAATATAAATTTATTTTTAAGAATCAGGGAAATTCTCCCCAACTTGTCCTTATTTTTGTAATTGTTTTTGCTATATTTAGACCTTTATTTTTCCATATTAAAAAAAATTAAACCTTTTTAAAAATACAACATACTTATAGAAAAGTACACAAATAACAAGTGTATGGGCTTATGAATTATCACTGTGAACACACACAAGAGTTGTTTCTCAAAAGAGAACAGTTAACTTTAGTAGAGGACAGTTTTGCTCTAAAATTCAAAGGATCTGTACTGTGATTCTACCATTGCCGTTTGCCACAGCATTCCAGTTTGTCCCATACACTCCAAATACTGCAGGATCATCTAGGCAATCATCTTATAGGTAAGAAGAGTTTTTGCACTGCAGCCTAGAAAGACTTTTCTTACTCTGGGACCCATTCTGGCAGCTGATGGCTCAGTTAAGGCATAAGAGTAGTGCATGCAAGTAATGTTTTCCTAAAATGTAAAAAGGGCCAAGAAGTATTGTGCCTCTCTTCGTGGTAGGTGGTGCAGGGTACAGCAATTTGCTTCATCCTTAAAAGACCTATCCTGTCATGCTTCAGACTACTGGACTGCTAAAAATTTCACCAAGGTAGGAAACCCTTAAATTTTTTTCCATTCTACACACTTGGGTCTTACCAAGACATCTAATGCTTTTTCTGTCCAATCACCATGATGGAAATCATCAGGGTAAATGGATTTGTATAATGTTTTGGGATATATCAGCACAATCCAGGTGTCTGCATTACTAGCTTATTCAAGAGCTGCCTTAGCACTAAGGCAAAGCAAGGAAAGTATACTCCTGACAGGGGAAATCAAACTTCTTCTGTTGGTCCTTGTAAATTGCTCAAGAGAAAATAGTGCTCTCTTCATTAATGTATTTCTCAAGGGAGTGTTATCTGGTCCCTCATGGGGGATATGGTAAAGACGCATATGGACAGGCTACATATGAGAAATTAACTTCAGCAACCCTGTAAGCTTTTCGACTTCTTCCTATACCTCTATACTATAGAAGTTGTCCAGGAAGGTCTGGCATCTCAGTCTCATTGAATGTAGGCCATATTTGACCTATCAAGTAAACTGTTAAAACCATTTCCAGATGCTCAAATTATTACTGTTAAGGAAATCTTCTATATAACAATATTGACAAGTTTGAGCCAATCCAAAGCTACATCCATCTTCTTAGTGTAAAAGTTTATAATCAATTCCCACACATGTTCCCCAGGTTTTTGCTGCTATGAATTAGCAAAAACTTGCTATTTTCTTGGAGTACCACTCAGTACAAATTTGACTGGTTCTCCTGGGGCATGCCAAAATCTGACTCCAACTTTGTCTAAAGGCAATGAATGTGTACAGGTGGGCCTTGAGGAAAATAGTCATCTCCTTGCAAGCTAATTGCCTCAAATGAAGTTATTGTAGGGTCTTTAGGAAAGAAAAGCCAGTATTCTCAAACAAGAGAGAAGGGATTACTTTTGCTGCCAAAGAAGACAGGAAATTTGTGGCTTAAGTTTCAGCTTCTATCCAACTGTAACCATTCCAAATTTCAGAGCTTTCTATTTTTCAAGCAATGTGCTAACTTTCTCATTAGAGGCTTGGCAACTCTATGAATTCAACTTATGTTTTAATTCTGTCAGATTAAATTTGGGGGCTGATTTTTCATACACATCTGCCCCAAAGCTATGAGAAATACAGATTCTTTTAGAGTCATCATGGAATTTCTCTGGTTTTTTACTGCAACTTAAGCTGAGGGTTTAAAGCTCTGAGCTTCTCTTTCACTTTCCATAACCTCTCCAAGGCAGTGAGATGAAGTTCATCTATCCACAGCCCTTGTAGTCAGCACATGTATATTAATTATGGTTAAACTTAGTAGCTACTTGGTCTCCTAAAGCCTTTCCTTCAAAAGGCTCTTCATCCCAAATAACCATAGTGATATATATTTTTTAACGTTTTCATTGAGACATAATAAATATGCAATAAGGTATGCAGGCCCTAGGTGTTTAAGCTCAATGAATGTCTACCTATCTATACACTGTATAAGCCCCACTCAGATAAGGATATAGAACATTTTCATCATTGCCAGAAGGCTCCTTCATGGTTTTTCTTAGTCAGTAATTTTCCACCAAGGTAGTTATTATTCTACTATTTATCATTGTAGATTAATGTGTTGGTTCTTGAATTTCACATAAATGGAATTATATAGTATATGCCATTTTGTGAATTTTTTTGTTCAACATTATATCTATGAATGTTATTAATGTTTCATTTGACTGTAGCTCATTTTTATTGCTACCTAATATTCCACTGTATGTATATATATGTATATACATTTATTTAATCAGTCTATTGTTGATATACATTTACATTGTTTTAGCATTTGACTGTTATAAATAATGCTACTATGAACATTCTTGGTTTTTTATCAAGTTCAAAAAGTATCATTTACATCCAAGAAAATGTACAATTTTAAGTGTACAGTTCAATGAGTTTGACAATGTATAAACCCATGTAACTACCAGCACAATGAAGATATAAAACATTTTCACAAAACCAAAAAGTTCCCTTGTCTTCTTTGCGATCAATCCCTTCTTCTTATGGTCCCAGAAAACTACCAGTTTGCTTTCTATTGCTATAAATCAGTCTTCCCTGTCTAGATTTTCATATAAATGAAATCACAGTGTATATTAATTTATGTCTGTCTTCTTTCACTTGGAATGTTTTTGATATTTATCAATGCTATTGTGCGTATCAGCAGTTCCATTCCCTTTTATTACTGAGTAGTGTTCCACTGTATGCGTTTATCCACAAATAGTTGGAAATTTGGGTTTCTTGCTCAGTGCTATTATGAATGATGCTGCTAAGAACATTCATGTATAAGTCTCTAAGTATACATATGTTCCAGTTTCTCTCATTTCAGCTTATTACTCCTAAGTAAATATCTAGCAGAGGAAGTGCTGGTCGCTGGGCCATACAGTTTAACTTCTTAAGAAGCCGCCAAACTATTTTCCAAAGTGGTCATTGCATTTCTATCAGCAATGTATGAAAATTCTAGTTACTCTGTATCATTATCAACCCTTAGTATTGTCAGTCTTTTTAATTTTAGCTATACTAGTGGGTGTAATTTTTATTTCACTATGGTTTAATTTGCATATCTCTGATGACAAATGACATTAAACACATTTTCATGTATTTGACATGAATATATCTTCTTTTCTGACATGTCCATGGAATTTTTGTATTAATTCATTAAATCATACAAGTTCTTTATATGATCTGATACAAGTCTTTTGTCATTTAACATATTACAAATATTTTCTCCCAGTTTATAGATGTTGTCTCATTCTCTTACTAGTGTCTTTGAAAGACTAGAATTTTTTAATTCGGTCAAGTCCATTTTATCAAATTTTCTTTTAAGGTTCATGTTTTCTTCTGGAAGTTTGTGATTTTATCTTAAACACTTTGGTCTAAAGTCTGTTTCAAGCTTTTTATATATGGTGTGAGGTAAGTCTTGAGGTGCAATTTTCCTCCCACATTTCGTAGTCAGTTTTTTCA